ACCCGGCCGAGATCGAGGCCTTGCGCGGGGACTTGCTGGCTTGGTACGACAAGTGCAAGCGGGACCTTCCATGGAGGAGGCTGGTAAGGGCGGGGTGCCGGGGGGGAACCCTTGCTGGAAATGTGCGCTCCCGGCTGGTCCTGGCAGCTCTGGGGGGGGTAGTCTGTAGCCAGACCCGAGATACAAGGAGCAAAGCGGGGCTCAGGGTGGACCCGGGCTTTGCAAACACACCCCCCAAGCCTGAGCACTTTTCTCTGGTAGCTGTAGCCTCGTTGTCTTTTAAACCTGTTTTGTTCCTGCAGTAGTGAGCGCTTCATGGAAAAGGTTTCTGGGTATTTGCTTTAAGCCTACAGTGTTTTCACCAGAGCTCCCACCCGCTCTGCGCTCGGCCTGGGAACAAGCGGTCAGGCATTGCCTGGGGGTGGGCGTCAGCTTCACAGCAACGTCCTTCTGAAGGGTGCTGGGAACTGCACAGCCCCTCTGTGGAGTTTAAATCTACCTGTGATTTCTCCCTGTGCAGAGGGACTTGGGTCTGGGACAGCTTTTCTGGTGGAATTTTGAACCTGGGGGAAATGTTTATGCAGGTTCCCATGCAGTGTTCAAAACACACCCCAAGCAATTTTATTTTATGTGCAGGTCTCCTCTGTAGTGGGATCCTGTGTCATCCTGTTTCTCTCACTCTCTCTTTTTCCCCTTTCAGGCAGCAACGGAGCCGGATGCCGACAGGCGGGCGTACGCAGGTGAGGAGCAGGGACTGTGCCCTGGCATCTCTGGGGTGCCCCGCTGCGTGTTCCCCCCGACACGGGTGTGCAATATGGCTTTGAGGGGAAACGCGGCTTCAGCTGCCATCCTTGGAACAAGCTGCCTGGGGTGGGCACGAGAGCCACTGACCCTGCTTGCAAGGCTCTGGAGGGTCTGAGAGCCCCCTTTGGCCCCGAGGGAGCTCCTGTGGGAAAGGAGTGGGGTGGGAAGGGGTCCCAGGTGTCGGAAGCCACGGCAGTGCTTGTGGCCAGCACTGACATGGCCACAGCACGAGGTGTGGGTGCCGTTGGTGCCTCTGCTCTGATTCCCGCCCTGCTCCCCGCAGTGTGGGTGTCCGAGATCATGCTCCAGCAGACACAGGTGGCCACAGTGATCGACTACTACAACCGCTGGATGCAGGTGACTGTTCCTCAGAGCTCTGTGCCTACAGGCTGCCTCTTTTGGAGACCTTGTCCACTACCTGTGGCAGGTCCCCAGCTGCAGAACATGGCTCTGCTTGTCCCTGACTTGTTCCCTTCCTTCTGTATTGCAGAAGTGGCCGACGCTGCAGGCTCTGGCGCAGGCCTCCCTGGAGGTGAGCGGTGCTGGGGCTGGGGGTTTTCTCTTCCCACACTCCATCTAACACCGTGCTGCATCTCTTGGAGCAGGAGGTGAATGAGCTGTGGGCAGGACTTGGCTACTACTCCCGAGGGAAGCGTCTGCAGGAGGCAGCAAGGAAGGTGCCCTGGTGTTGGGGTGTGGGGGGCATTTCCAGAGCCCCCTGTGGCCTGTGGGTTGGTGCTGGCTCATGCCTGTCCTGCCCTGGGGCTGTGTGCTGCTGGCACGAGGCTACAGAATCCCGTCTCATCATGGGTAAATGGGTGGCATGCACACGTCCCAGCTGCTGCCTGACCTTGGTCCCCTCCCTGCCAGGTGGTGTCCAAGCTGGCCGGCCAGATGCCCAGGACGGCTGAGGACCTGCAGAAGCTGCTGCCAGGAGTGGGACGATACACGGCAGGAGCCATCGCCTCCATCTCCTATGGGCAGGTGAGAGCTGGGTGTCATTGGCCAGTGGGGACCTCCTGGCAGGGTCCTGCTGGTGGATGTCACAAGCCAGGGGCTGTGCTTGGCTCTGGCTCTCGCTCGCTTTGTGGTGCATCTTGCACACCACCTGGGTTGGCCTCGTGTGTGTCCCCTGTCTGTCCTGGGAGCACCCCAGACCCCTGCCTTGCTGGGAGCATGGGCACCACCCAGTGTGGTAACCCCAGCACCCGGTCCCAGGCTACTGGCGTCGTGGACGGGAACGTGATCCGGGTGTTGTGCCGCCTGCGGTGCATCGGTGCCGACTCCAGCAGCCCGGCTGTCCTCGACCATCTCTGGTAAGCGGAACGCTCCATCCCTGCTCTGAGCTGCAGCAGTCGTGTCTGTGTTTGTTGGTGGCTGAGGGCAGGATCACTTGGGAGCCGTGGGGAGCTGAGCCTGCGAAGGGAGAGAGGTGTGGGGTGTGGGAGCTCTCGGGAAGCTGGTGCTGCTGGGAGTGGTTGAGAAAGGACCCGTGTTGCCTCTGCCTGCCCAGGAGAATCCCCTGTCGTGGGCAGGAGGTGGGCAAAGCACGTGTGCCGCTCACTGCTCTTTCTCCCAGGGCCATGGCTAATGCCCTGGTAGACAGGAGCCGGCCGGGGGACTTTAACCAAGCCCTGATGGAGCTGGGGGCGACCGTGTGCACGCCCAAGGCCCCACTGTGCGGGGAGTGCCCTGCGAAGCGGC